GGAATTGAGTTTAATTTCCATCTATTCAAGTTTTACCCAATTTTAAAATAACCTTTAGTCTAGACTAATTTAATCTCCAATTTCAATCCGTTTCAAGTATCTTTACTTGCATTAGTATAATGCATATTTTTATATTAAAGATATGAATTACTATCTATGTTATACTTTCTATAGGTTATTTATTAGTGTAACTTTTTTTAAAATATTTTTTTGCGTTGAAATCCAAATTATGGTTATAAAAGTTAAATAACAATATGTTAAGACTAAGCATGTCATAACCCATTCAATTTTTAACCTATTTATGTCCAATTAATTTTAACGAATCATTACTCAACTCAATTTTTATTTTGATCTTTTTTTTAATACACTTATTTTATATCCCTAATTGAGATTATTGACTAGCCCTTGTATTTTGTCGATTCTTATATTATGTATGAGAAGTCGATAACAAAAATATTGATGGAGCCACCAAACTTATAAAACAACTAATCAAACTTATAGCTATCCATCACCCATGCCATAATTATTTTTTTTGGGAAGCATCGAGAGTGAAAGTGTTTTATAGGAGTAATAAGAAAATTATTTTATTTTTAAATTTTTTGATTAAATATTGATGATACTTTTTAAATGGATTTAATCTTGTTGTTCTTATATTAAAAACAAACAATGCAACATTATTATTATTTTAAAAAAATTAAGATATAATTAATTGTTTATTTTCACCTTTATCATTAATTAAAAATATAGAGAAAAATTAATGTAGTGCAAAAAAAAAAGATATAATAGTTATAAACAAGGACAATTCAATTAAATTATCTATTGTTAGTATTTATTTTAAGAGGCGTGTAGAATAAAACTTAACTAAATAAATAAATCGAACGGATTATTCCCATCACTCATCGTAATCTTTGATGAAAAATTAGTACGTAACAAAGATAGACTAAATACAAGAACTTGTAGTTTGTTAAGGATAACTTTAGTCCAATAAGTGAAAATTGAGTAATTTTAATTTAAAAAATAATATTTAAATGATAAAAAAATAATCAATGATCTAAGTTTTATAGACATACATTTTTCTTTTTGAAATAATATTAATCTAATTAAAATAAATGTTAGCGTAAGTGCTGATGTATATTGAAATTTTAAGTCAAACTTTAATGTAATCTAATTTAAAACACTAGATATCTTCGATATAAACTTCACAAAAATTTAAATTAAGGGTGTGTTTGGTATGAAGTAAAATGTTTTTTATGAAAAATGTTTTCCTAGAAAATGTTTTCCTGGAAAACAAGTAGATTTTAGACTTATTTTTTCATGTTTGGCTGGTGAGTAGAAAATATTTTTCGAAAATGATTTTTAGTATTTGATTTATGAATGAAAAATATTTTTGAGGAATATTTTTTATTTTTACTAGGATACAAAATAATTTATGAAATTGAAAATATTTTTAAAAAATAATTTTTTTTGGGTGGTGGTGATAAGGGGTGGGGGTAGTGGTGGTGGTGGTGGAGGCGCAGAGGTAGGAGGTAGGAATGAAAAAATAAAAATTTGAAGTTGATAGTATTTTTAAAAAATAAAATTAATTTTTTGGGGTTGGTAGGAGCGGGTAGGGGCTGGCCAAAAAATATTTTCGTTCGTACCAAACACACTCTAAGAGATAGCTCAATATCATCGTATTTTTATAATTGCGTGATATTATATGTGAAATTTACCTCGCACCACAAAATCATCTTTCGCCGTCCGTTCGCTTAGTTCTAAACACCCGTAGATCTCGCTGTCTCCGTAAGTCTCTCTCGTAATTTTTTCCCCAAATATTCAAATCCCTAATTATGCACAGCAATTTGCATAAACTCTATTCGATTATCCATTTATTGTCTCTTTTGTGATCTGTTCAGATATAATTTATATCCTTTTTGGGTTGTAGAGAAGCTTTTTTCATCGATAGAGGTTGATTCTACAGCTATTTATTGAAATTTAATTAGGGTTTTGTATTATAATTTATGGGTCTTTCTCAATTTTCTGTTTTTGAATTTCCCCCAAATTTTGGTTGTCCAATTGTTTAGGTTTTAGGTATTTGAGCGTGTTCTTGAGATTTAGTTAGCTGTTTTTATGGCATTTGAATGCCAAAAAAGTATTGAGAGTTTGAGAATTTGTTCAATTGAACCTTCTAAGAATCGAGATAATTTGACATTAGAATCGGAAAAAATAAAACCTTTATATAAATTGGATGCTAAAGGTGGGATTGTGAATTCAAAATGTGAGGAGTTGCTTACCGGTAATGAAGTTCTTCCTGGTTGTCAGTCCATTACTGAACTTCCTCCGGTGTTGATTTCAGAAATATTTAATTTGTTAGAGCCAAAGGAGCTAGGTATTGTTTCGTGTGCTTGTACGTTATTGTATCAGATTGCATCGGAGCACCATGTGTGGAAGGAGTTCTATTGTGAAAGGTGGGGGCAGCCAATATTGCAGGCACCTTTTGGTGCAGGGCTTTCGGATGGGAAGTTGTGGAAGGAGCTGTTTGTGGAGAGGGAGTTTCGGAGTAAAACATTCATGGGACGGTATACTATCGATATGTTGTATGGTCATACTGAGGATGTTAGAGCAGTTTTTGTTTTAGCTTCAAAGAAGCTTGTGTTTACATCAGGTTATGATCAAATAGTGCGAATGTGGGACTTAGAAGAAGGGTTGTCAATTGCCTCATCTGAACCTCTTGGCTGCACTATCCGTGCAGTTGCAGCTGATTCAAGGCTGTTAGTGGCTGGGGGTACTGGTGGATTCATACATGGTTGGAAAGCGAATGAAGAAAATCCTCATTTGTTTGATCTTAGAGCATCTCAGAGCGAGGAAATGCAATTCCAAGTTTGGGAACATGGTGGGCCAATAACATGTCTTGCGTTGGATTTCAATAGGATGTATAGCGGTTCATGGGACATGAGTATTCGTGTTTGGGATCGATCTTCTCTGGAGTGTTTGAAAGTTTTGATACACAGTGACTGGGTGTGGAATCTTGCTCCCCATGACACAACAGTGGCAAGCACAGCAGGCTCGGATCTTTATGTTTGGGATACTAATAGTGGGTCAAAACTTGCTATAATCGGCAATGCTCATGCTGGATATACTTACTCTCTGGCGCGAAGCCACACTGGGAAGCTTCTGTTCACTGGTGGGGAAGATGGAGCTATTCACATGTTTGAAATCTTTGAAAATGTTACGTACCATGTCAGACGGGTTGCAACATGGATTCCTCACTTGAGTGCTGTTTACTCTCTTGCATTTGAGTTCCCTTGGCTTGTTTCAGCTTCAAGTGATGGAAAACTTTCACTTATTGATGTGAGAAAGCTGTTGAGAACAAACCGGAATTCCGCACTGAATAGTTCTTCTAAAGCTGTTAATCTGGTTGACAATGTCGAACCACCACAGAGAATGCTACATGGTTTTGGGAGCAATTTGTTTGCGGTGGATGTTGGATCTAACCGAATTGTGTGCACTGGTGAAGAAGGTCTTGTCAGGATATGGAACTTCTCTCAAGCTTTGGAGAATGAGCAGCGTGTCCAAGCTCTAAGAGGTTTAAGGTTAGAGAATAGAATGAGAAGGCGTAATCGTCAGCTGGAAACGAATGATAAAGGTAGACGTGGTAATCAGTGCTCATTTACAGAAAACAAGAACCAATTAGATGGTCATAGAAACAGTTGGAACAACAGGCGAAAGATGGTTTGGAAGGTGAAGGCCTAGAAGTGTCTGCAGTTTGTCATTGATCCTCAGAGTAATTCTCTATTTCCAATACCTAATCATGTATGAAAAGGCATTTTCTCGTTGAAAGCTTCCATCGATACGTTAACATTGAAGATACAATCTGTATCATTTACAACTCTTTCGCTCATTTCTCTTATTTGATCTGTCAAGAGTTTTACTTGTTAAAAGCTGATGTTGGTTATGAGATTTTTGTTTACAATGTTTTGCTGGCATATTCCCGAATTTGACATGCCATTTCAGGAATTTATAGTGGACACAGAATATAGTGTTGCTTTAAAACACCATGATTTCTTAAAAAGTAGTTTTGATTTGATGAATTAAGGCAGGTAGGTTGTTTTGTGATTTTCCCCTGGATTGAGCATAGTTATTTTATGCTGCGAGTATTATACCCCTACTCTTACAGTCTGCTGAAGTAGGTCTCGTTGCTTTTATATTACTGTTGAATTTTGAGTTCCTTGTTATAACGTTGTTCATTTTATCAACCTCCGCAATGGCAGTTCTCATCCCTTTTCTTTTTATTCTGTCTAAACTTCTTTCAACAGTTTCAGGTGTTGAATATTTGATTTAGTGACACACTGACACAGAAAAGTGTTTGCTTTGGATTTATCATGCAACCAACACAGAGATTACATGTAGAAGATTGAACTTGTATTCTGTGATTTACCCTTCCCAAAGTAGCCAATTTCTGATGACAATGCACAATCTTAAATTAAAAATTTGGTGAAATACACATGGCTTGTGCATTACCAGTTTCCCTGTTGAAACTCTTCTTCCAAAAACCAGTCACAACTGACGTCGTCGTGGACGATTAATGTGGGTGGTGTTGAACATGCTTGCCTTCGCATATTCTATCGGGTACCTGCTACCTCCTAGCAAAGTAACATCATGGATAATTATTAAACTGGCAATGAACCTGTATTAGCTTTAATAGCCCATTACAATACACTAAAATCTCCTAAAATTATGCATGATTTCCAGCCGACAAAAAAGCAACAAACTTACCTTTTTGTTCAAACTTGTGATTAAAATTTCAAAACAAAACATATTGGACCATACACAGTGGGATGATTACATTTATAAAGTCACCACAGTGTATTAATAAGCTTAAAAATCACAACCAACTTAAGTTACAATTTATTTTTAGCATAGTAAACAAGACGGATCAAAATATTTATATACTAGTAAAACAGGAAAAAAAAAAGGAGTTGTTTTGGCAAATTTACTTATACCTGCCAAAAGCAAGTCATCACAACTATTTTACAACTCTGCTCACTCACTTCCCACTGCGAACACATTCATCTCAAATCCGCAACAATGGCCGCATCCACCATATCCATTTTCACCACAGTTCTCATTCTCTCACTATTCTCCTCCCTGATTCCATCTACCAAAGCACAAGACTCGCCGCCGGCACCAGAAGCTCCGGCACCGAGCCCCGGAGTTGATTGCTTTAGAGTTCTAGTAAACATGTCCGATTGCTTAGCATTTGTCGAAAGAGGAAGCAATACGACTACACCGGGTAAAGGATGTTGCCCGGAAATTGCTGGATTGTTAGATAGTAACCCTATTTGCTTGTGCCATATGCTTGGCCGAGCTCACTCCGGTGCTAAAATTGGGTTCAATATTGATGTCGATAAGGCACTTAAACTTCCTTCTGCTTGTAGTTTGGAGTTTCCACCATCTACCACTTGCTCAGGTACCGTTTTACTCTCTGTTTCTTTCACTCAATTTTGGGCAACTGTGTATTTGTGAAGGGAAAAATTGGGAGATCTACTTTTTTAGCTTGTATTTGCCTTTAATTTAGGTCGTGACAATTAGTATCAGAGTTCACATTATTGATTTCACAATTACAAGAGCAAAATGATGAATATCAAAAACTTGTTTTCTCATTTTACATTTTCTAGTAGAGAAATATTTTTTCAAAATCTTTTATCAATTAAATATGAAACAAAAATATTTTTTTGCAAAAAAAATAAAATAAAATACTCCACCCTATGGAAATCACTACCGAATTAGAACAATAATATATACTATAAGATAATGACATTTTCATTTTGTTTATATTAGCCATTAATGGTAGTGAGAGCTCACAATAGTTAAGATTCGAAATAAAAAGCATCTCGTATTCACCTAGAATTAGGGATTGCAAAATTATAAAATAATATTTTCTACGTGACTTTAAAATTCCTTTTTTTTTTTTTTCTATTAAAGATCTTGGCATCCCAGTCGGAGCTCCATTACCAAGTGAGGAAAGCCCTGCTCCATCACCTGGTAAACAAACTCTTGCAGTTTTTTCGGTATTATTTTAAGATCCCGACTTATTTAGGTTCGCGCTTCGTAAAAATCTAAAATAAAAGCATTGTGGTAAGTGGGATCGATCATGATTTTTTCAATCAATCTAATTAAATGATGGTACTAATTAGAACACAATTCCATAAACCATTTTTATTTCTTTCCACAGGAGGATTTGCAACTAGTCCTACATCTGACAATATTAATGCAGCTTCAATCATTGTATTTTACAAGATGCAATTCCTTATTGGCATGGCCATTATGTTTTTCACAAGCTTTTTTTGATTCAATAATGATTTTTTGGTAGAAAAAAAATATTACAGTAGCACGTTTAATTAGTAGAGAGAAGTATCCATTAATATTTAACTATTTATTCGGTATCTTTTCCACATTCATATCATTGTGGATAGAGGACTTCAACTCACTCTTGAGTTTCTAATGAAGAAAATATGTAATCTTTTGGTTAGTTTCATGAAATAATATTGTTAAATTAAATTAGGTTTAGGAAATTAAACTTGTTATTTTTTTCGATATAGAAATATAGTGGAATTCGAAATTGCAATGCCAGAATGGTGTGGATAGTAAAAAACACTCACTTGATAGCCATCGAGGACAAGATCATTTGGTTTCCATTCACATTTTTCTCTATATTGTTCAATTTTATCGAATATTTCGAAAAAAAGGTAATTTAATTGAGGAAAATATTTACCTTTTGATATTACATCACATCGTATTTCATGTTATATTACAAGCGGAAAGAACTTGAGTCGAAATTTAACTTACCATTTCAGTCTTTTTATATATAAAGCAATTATCCGATCTACATTAATAATAATGCAGTGAAAATACTCATAATTATGAAAAAAAATAAAATTATTAAAAAAAATTTAGTCAAAAAATAAAAAGATCCATCAATTTCCAACGGAATGATTTGACTTTTGATTTTCATCTACATTAGTATTGCATAAGAATATTCATAATTATTTAAGTCAATGGACTCTTCCTTTTCTCGAGGCATAATACTTCTTCATCTCTTCTCTTGTTTGTGAGCAAACTGATCAAGATCAGAGATCAAACAAGTAACTTGGAAATTGATAGAACTTTTAAATTTTTTGCTAAAATACTTTAATAGTTTGATTTTTTTTTCAACTTTCCTTACCCAAGGTCCCTTATTTAAGTCATCCAAAGAGCAATTGAATTTGCAAATCCTATTGAATCTTTTTAATCAAATATGGTAGCGAAACAATGAAACCTTCTACTGGTTGGTATACAAGATCTTCCTATAGATTACCACGACTTTATAGTTATCATCTTCGACGTCTATGGTGCCATGTTAATTATCAAATGCAAGATTTGCTTGTGATTTGTTATTATATTAGGTGTGCAATCTATTGCTAACATAAAAAAATATGAAAAATGATTTTTAGCAAATCTCAACGGCTATGATGTTTGGTATCACGGGTCTCATGACAAACTACTTGGGTGTTAGTCCCTGGGCAAGCAAGACAACTTGATGGAATTCTTTTAGGCACAAAACTCATTTACAAGAACATGTGGTTTCATGCAGACAAACGTGTAAACATGTTCTCGTTTACTAGTTATAAATAAATACACATATTCTTGTTAAAGTGTGTGATTATCTCATTTGAAAGTTTACGGTGAGCTTTGATCTCAGGACCTAGCTAGGCCTGCTCTGATACCATGTTAAAGTGTGTGACCGTCTCATTTAAAAACCTAAGTTGTTAAAGAAAACACACTTTTATTATTTAATTATACTCTCAATATACACATTCTGTCTCTGATTGACAATAACTTTTTTATCACTTAATAATAAAATGAAGTAACATATTGTATATACTTTAATTATAATATCCATTTTATAAATTCTTTTGGTATTAAGATCTCAGAAATTAATAATATCAAATAGGAGTTTTTTTAGAATTCAAATTCTAACGAAATCAATAAAAAGAAAAATTACGCGATGTAATATGTATTTAAACTATATTTATGATACCTAGTTAGAATTTCAATAAATTACTAAATATAGCTATGTTTTGAATGTTATTGCAATTCATAAACACACTGATATACTTTTTCTGTTTCAAAAAGAATGACCTACTTTTATTTTTAATCTGTTTAAAAAAGAGTGACGTTTTTCTTTTTTGATAACATTTTAATTTTAGATTTTCACGTATCATGATTAAGGACACAAATAAAGAATCAATTTTGTAAATTTGACATAACTTTAATTTATGACCACATGATTCAAAAGTCTTCTTTATTTTCTTAAACTCTGTGCCAAGTCAAATTAGTTCACTCTTTTGAAAACGGAGGGAGTAATTTTTCCACACTTGATATAATACCCGCCTAATATAACTGATAACCATCTAATACAATTAGCCGCCTAATATAACTGATAACCATCTCATACAATTAATACCCGTATGATATAACTGATATTTGTGTTTAAATATATGCGCTTAATATAATACCCGCCTAATATAACTGATAATCATCTAATACAATTAATACCCGCCTAATATAACTAATAATCATCCAATACAATCGATACCCGCATAAATATAACTATTATCGTGTATTTAAATATAACTCATTTATTGATATAACTGATATTTATATCCATACAATAATCATAATTGTATTTTATAAATACGCAAACTATAACTATATCTATAATTATAAAAATTTGTTTGATTGATCCAAAATATCATAGTGTGATTGTATTTTTGTACTAAAACCACATCCTCCGGGTCCACCCACATCTTCATCTCAGCATAAGTTTGACGTAAATTCTATAGACTAATATCCACCGTTGAGTTTAATCAAACGGCTGAAAATCGATGTACCCTTAGGTTCATTGGTAATCCACACGACACCCACTTACTCTCCCCGTTTTCTTCCTCCCTCCGGCCATCTGCAACTTCGCCGGTGCCCAAAACGCTGCAAATTCCTTCCAAACGCCATCGTTTTTATTGTGAAGAACTCTCTTGAAGCTTTCCAGGACGGAAGTAGCTTTATCGGAAATTGTTTGAGATCCGTTTGGCCTTAATTCTCTCTCCTCTGATCATAGGTTTATCTCTCTTTTGTACATAGAGATATATACATATATGTGTATGTATATGTGTCATGTGGGCATATATATATATATATGTATGTACCTTCGTATATATCGCTGTGTGTGTGCGCGTGCTTGTGACTATACATATGGTGATATAGACCCTTTTTAATCTGCATGAGTGTCTGGTTATCTGTGTATTTACTATGTATTGTTTATGTTTTTTCCCCAATTTTTTTTTAGCTTTTAAGTTTGATTAAGTGAATTCTGGAAAGTATTGAATGACAAAGTCTATGTTCAGTGTAAGCTTTAACTTTGTTATCTGATAATTCCGGAGATAACTTGTACATAATTAGAAATTACATGAAGTGCTAATACGGCTTTAATGATGCAAAAACTTGTATTCGTTGAGAAAATTTGCTTCGATTCTCGTGGTAAACGTTTCATGTAAAAAGGGATAGGCATTGTACTAGTATTTAATTTGGTTTTGGTCAAGCGTTTGTACAAAATTTAGACCGAAGTAGAGTTTCTAAATCCAACATTGAGCAAAATTATTTGAGATTTGGTTGTGCGTAATTTGTGTTATTATATTGGGTACTTTATTATTGTGTTGTTTACTTGCAGTACTAATGCTTGCTTTACTTTGCTCAATTTCGATAGATGAATACACGAGACGTGGTAAATAAGGGAATTGTAGGATAAGAAGAATAGTACTAGTTAAAGATGATTTTTATGGTGAATACTGAAAAAGTGACAACTTTTTGCAGGTCGTTACGTGGTTATACATGCCATCTTCAAGGATATGAACTGGAGTACCTTTATGGATTTAATTCATTTTCCTGAAGTGGTTTCCCTGTTCCGGAATGGATGTTGAAGAAGGGAACATGAACCAGCAAGGTGGTATAACTGATGACGGTGATGATGAACCCAGTGAGAGTGGAGAAGCAAATGTAAATGGAAGATCAAATGCACCTGATGGAGATAACATTGTTGAGCCGCAAATGGGTATGGTATTTCTTTCTGCAGATCAAGCAAAGAATTTCTATGATGAGTATGCTAGGCGTTTGGGTTTTAACACCCGTGTCTTTCAGTTTAATCGACTGAAGACTGATTTCTTATGTGACAAGGTTGGTTTGAGAAGAGTGTCAGGTGAATCCTGTGATGCAATGCTTAGAGTGGAGTTAAAAGGTCAAAACAAGTGGGTTGTGACCAAATATGTGAAGGACCACAGTCACTCCCTTGTGTATCCCAGCAAGGTGCATCATCAGAGATCGCACAAGCATTTTGCGGTGACAAAAAAGAAGGTACCTGAGAATAATCAGGGTGTTGGAGTTGTTCCTAGTGGTGTAATGTATGTCTCAGTAGACCGTAACCGCATCCCTGTAGAGATGAACCATGGAGCTAAGAGAACTCGTCCTGAAGAGTCAGATCAAACTGTTAAGAATTCTACAGTTCAGGGTTTTTCTCCTAGATATTGCAATCAACGAAGAACATTAGGGAGAGATGCTCAGAATCTTCTCGATTACTTCAAGAAAATGCAGGCTGAGAATCCCGGATTTTACTATGCCATACAATTGGATGAAGATAATCGCATGTCTAATGTATTTTGGGCTGATGCAAGGTCAAGAAATGCATACAGTCATTTTGGTGATGCCGTTATACTGGACACGATGTACAGAGTTAATCAGTGCAAAGTCCCATTTGCTCCGCTCACAGGAGTAAATCATCATGGTCAGGCAATTTTGTTTGGTTGTGCACTTCTTCTAGATGAGTCTGAGGCTACATTTGTCTGGCTATTCAAGACCTTCCTTGCCGCTATGAATGACCGTGCCCCAGTCTCATTAATTACTGATCAGGACACTGTTATACAATCTGCAGTTTCTCAAGTTTTTCCTGAAACACGGCACTGTATCAACAAGTGGCATGTATTAAGGGGTGGCCAGGACAGAATGTCTCATGTATGTCACATGTTCCCAAATTTCCAGGTTGAACTCTATAATTGTATCAATTTGACAGAGACAGTTGAAGAATTTGAATCGTATTGGGAGATGATCCTTGATAAGTATGACCTGAAGAAGAATGATTGGCTTCAATCCATATATAATACACGTCGACAGTGGGCACCAGTTTATTTTCGTGATACTTTCTTTGCAGCCGTTTCTCCTAACCAGGAATATGAATGTTCTTTTTTCGATGGGTATGTGAGTCAACAGATTACATTGCCATTGTTCTTCAGGCAATATGAAAGAGCTTTGGAGAATTCATTTGAGAAGGAAACAGAAGCTGATTTTGATACAATATGCACCACTCCACCACTAAAGACACCATCTCCAATGGAGAAACAGGCAGCAACTTTATATACAAAGAAAATATTCTTAAAATTTCAAGAAGAGTTGGTGGAGACATTTGTCTACACTGCAAACAGAATTGATGGAGAT